CCCAAAGAAATTCTACCAAACAAAGCCTTTGCCTATATTAAAAATAAAAATTCTCTACAAAATTTGTTTATAAAAAAAAGCCAATAAAAAAAAAAAATTTTTTTTAAAACTACGCTAAACTTAAAAACATGTGACCGACAATATATCAACCCTGTGCTGACAAAGAAACTAATTTTTGACAAAGATAAAATTATCGAACATAGTTGGATTAAATCAAACACAGTTGGACAAAAACATCAAGCACAGACAGACAAAAATATCAAGCACAGATGGATAAAAACATAAAGCACAGACGGATAAAAATGTCAAGTATGGTTAGATAAAACTATCAAGCACGTACAGATAAAACCATCAAGCACGTACAGATAAAACATCAAGCACGTACAGATAAACATCAAGCATGAACAGATAAACATCAAGCATGAACAGATAAAAATATCAAGCACGTGATAGATAAACATCAAGCATGAACAGATAAAAATATCAAGCACGGACAGATGAATATCAAGCATGAACAGGTAAAATGTCAGGCACGGTGTAACATTTTGTCAATCCATGCTTGATTTTTCACCCGCCCAATGCCTGATAGTTTAGTCCAGCTCGGCTTGCCATACAGATAATTGGTTGCTGATGCGGTCAGCGATTGATCTACAAAAAATTGGTTGGCGTCAATGGCGTATTTAGCTAATCATACCTATTATGGATAATATTACAAATCAAAAAGTTGAACATTATTTTCGGTCAATCTAGAATTGTTTAATTCCGATTTCTATGCTCTGGCGTATACATCAGGAATTTTTTTCCGTTTAAAATCCACATGGAAATCCACATCAAATACTGTGGAAATCTAAATACTAGTCAGTTATTTGTAAAATTTAAATTCCAAAACATCAGTAAAAATTCTATCATTTCTTAATTTAAATTAAAGGTTGGAACCGACCAAAAAAACCTTAACCGATTAATAATCATTTAATATTAAAAACATTAAAAATTTTTTTTTAGCCGCAGATTGCACCAAATTGTTTTTGATCATACATTTAATTATAGGAAAGTCTTATTTTATTATTATTATTAAAAAATTCGTCCAAGTTCTGAGAACACGTGACCAAAAATTCACAGCTCTGGGCCGCATTAGATAATTTGACCAGAATTATGGTTTGGATAATTTTAATCGATTAACCCGATTAACCTTAATCGATTCCAAACTCTAATTTAAATAATTTATTATCATTTACGTAAATGATTTTATATTAAGCTTTTAAATTGAATATTATGAATATCTAGCATTTTGATAAATTATCGATTACATATTTTTTATATTAATTAAATTCACTAGATAAATTTATTTAATTAATTTTTGCATAAAACTAAGTCTATCGTAAAATTTACGATTTTTGGTTTTGATAATTTAGTTTTTTTGTAATAGTAGTTAATATTTAATATAGTTCATTCTCTATGAAAAAGTTTTATGTTTAAAATTTGGTTAAAATAGTATGTTATATACAATTTTGAATCTGAGAATTTCATGTATTTACGTTTTAAACTTGATAAAATGTTCTTCGTTAAAGATATTGAGAAAAAGAGATAAAAATATAAATATTTTTTATCAAGCTTTATGTAAGTAGGTATATTATATTTTCATTTTTCTTATAAATTGGATTATTTTATCAAGTTTAAAAACTTTATAGTATATACTTGACAATATTAATATTTCTGCCCAGTAAATAGTTTTTGTATAAATTTGTACCAAATGAGCTCATCTATATATAATTGGCTCTAGATTGGCTTAAATTTAGATTATTTTTTGCATAAATTTGAGCTAATTTCGAGCCAATGAGCCCGTTTAGTATAAATTTATACAAAAACTATTTACTGGGGCTGGTGCCTTAAATTCGGATTAATAACTGTTTCTACTATTAACAGTTATCAACAATTCTTACAAATGAGCAAACAGAATTCTTCAAGTTATTTTTTGTTATTAATTTACAAAAATTATGTTAGGATAGGATCTGTTCTAAATAGAAATTAAACAAATATTCTTTTTAAATTTGTTTGATTTTATAATTTTCTAGTAAAAAATCATTATAATCGGTAGTTAATTCTTAAGAATTATTTACAGTATTTGAGGCAGTATTTTATAGTTTTACTTAATAATTCACTCCTATTTGATTTACTCCTGAATACAAATAAAAATATAACTATTATAGACACGTTTACTCTTTTTTGTGCATTAGTAGAAAGGATAACGAAAGTATTCACAATGGATTTAACCATCTATATATATAGAGCGAGCTATAATACGGGATATGAAATGAGATACGTTTTCATTTACTAATGCAGTAGCGAAACTTTTGCGGATGACATAGCAATAAGCAACTACATACTTGTCCTATATTTAATATTAATAGCATACCAAGCAGTAGTAATTTTATGAAGTTTTTGCATACAGTATGGTACTTTAGATATTCTAACGATGTTAGATAAAAATTTTTTTATTATTTATTTAAATTCATATAAGAATTATTACTTGTTAGATAATTAATTTTAATTTATCATTAAAAGTTCCGTCACTAATAAGACGCTTTTTGAAAATAACTGTACAAATCACAAATGATGGCAATAAATATAATAAAAAATAATACGTTACATTTTTTAAAGAAACCTTCTTATTATAATTCAAAATTACAGATTACAGGAAATTTCTAATTTATGATTAATTCGTCAATTAATACAATCATTTCGGCCAAAATTATATAATATAATTCCGGAAAAAACCGAAATTGGCAACATAGGGAACATATACGCCAAAGCATAGAAACCGGAATTAAACAATTCTAGATTGACCGAAAAATATGTGTAACTTTTTGATTTGATCGGTGGTAATATTATCCATAATAGGTATGATTTGTTTAGACACGCCAACCAAAATTTTTGTAGATCAACCGCTGACCGCATCAGCAACCAATTATCTGAGGGTATAAATGATCTAGAACTGAACAGGGCTAATGTTTGATCGACGTTTCACACAACTAAATAAATTTAAATAATGAAATTTGAAACTTTGCCAATTTACTTGACCAAAAATTTCCACAATACCTTAGAAAATGACTTTTGAGTTTCTTCAAGAAGTTAGTGGTGATTATGAAAAATTACTTAAAATTGAGAAAGGACATGATGTAATTATATATGCTGGTGAAAATAAAAATATGAAAGAAATACGTGCGCATTCACTCATCTTATGTGCTAGGTCTCAGTATTTTTGTGCGGCATTCTACAATGATTGGGTCGAGAAGAAGAACGGAATTTTTATCTTTAAAAAACCTAACATTTCTCCTCAACTATTCGAGATTATTTTAAGGTAATTTAATGAACTAATATTATATAAATTATTTAATGCGGAAGAAATCTATTAAAGCTTTTATTTTTTTTTAATATTTAAGATTTATTTATTGTGGAAAAGTTGATATAGCAAATTTTAAAGGTCCAGAACTGTTAAAACTTTTAATTGCAGTAGATGAACTTAATATTCAAACATTGGTTACTTGTGTTCAAAAACATTTAATCAATGATAAAAAGTTCTTACGAGAGAATTTTATGGAGATTCTTCAAATGGTTTATTATAATGAATTATTCGTGGAATTATTCAATTATTGTCTTGAAGAAATTGATACGATATTTAATTCTGATAAAATTTTTAATTTAGAAGCACCTTTATTGGAATTTCTTTTAAAACAAGATAATTTAAATTTAGATGAGATTGAAATTTGGGATGGTTTAATCAAATGGGGATTAGCACAAGAAGAACTTAATCGAAACACCTCTAAATGGAACAAGAATGATATAATTATTTTTAAAAGGATTCTTTTTAAATTTATTCCCTTAATTAGATTTTATGGAATACCTTCTGAAGATTATATTAACAAAGTTAAACCCTATGAAGAGGTTTTATCTGAAGAATTGCGAGAAGAAATATTAAAATTTCACTTGAATCCCGAATATAAACCAACAGTCAACATTTTACCAAGACGTTTTATTGATTCTACTTTAATTAATCAAAAACATATCAAACTTTTTACAAATTGGATTGACATGAGAGATAATAACACAAATTACAATGGAATTCCTTATAAATTTAATCTTTTATATAGAGCTAGCAGAGATGGCAATACAGCTGCAGCATTTCATGCTAAATGTGATAACAAAGGACCTACTATAGTTGTAGTAAAAATTAAAAATTCGGAACAGATAGTTGGAGGATATAATCCACTTTTTTGGGATTTGAGTGGTGATTTTAAGATTACAGATAATGGTTTTATTTTCTCATTCTCTGATAAAAATAATCTTCAAACTGCGACAGTCGCTTATAATATTGTTAGGTCACGTTCTATATATTGCGACAAAACATGTGGTCCAGTATTTGGTTGTAATGATTTATATATAAATTATAGTATTAATCCTGTTGATGTTTGGTGTAGTACCTGTACAAGTTGCTATCCTACATGCAATTTCCCAAGAAAAATGTATGTAGATGATTATGAAGTATTTCAAGTTATTATAAAATAACCAGTTATTGTGTGTATCTATTTAACAAGTTACATATAAAATTTTTCAAGAGTTCAAAATTATTAAATATGTGTTTAAATAAAAATTAAGATAACAATTTAAACTATTTATAGTACGATTGAAATAATTTGAAAGATTCACAATATTGAAAAAAATTAGATGTCTACGTACTGTGATTAGGGATGGCAACGGTCACGGTCATTAACCGGTTATGACCGGTCATGACCGTGACCGATATCGGTCGGTCAAAGACCTCTGACCGACCGTTTGACCAACCGGTCTGACTGACCGGTTAACTGACCGTTTTTTTTATGAAATACTTAATAAAAAACGTTTTCGCAACGGTTTCTATTAAAATAATTAAAAAAACGTTTGCGAAACATTTTATAAAAAAAAAAGGGTTCGCAAACGTTTTTTTATTAAATTACATTTTACAAACGTTTTCAGGATCGGTTAAACTTTAGAGCTCCGAATGGGTCAGGTCAGGTCAGGTTGATTGATAAACCTGACCTGAAATTTTTTTTCAGGTCAGGTCAGGTCAGGTTATATCAGGTTGTCTGTTTGACCTGACCTGACCTGAAACCTGAAAAATTTCAGTACTATTTTTATTAAAGTATTGAAAAAAAATGGTACAAAACTTTTTTTTTTAATATAATATTATGAAAAAACCGTTTTTGCAACGTTTTTTATTAAAATATTGAAAAAAAATATTGCAAAACGTTTTTTTTAAATGTTTTCGCAATGTTATTATTGAAATATCAAAAAAAAAACGTTACGAAACATTTTTTTAATATAATATTATGAAAAAACGTTTTCTCAACGTTTTTTCTCGAAATATTGCGATTCAACATTTTTATATTAAAATCATATAAAAAAGTGAATCCCAATACTGCAATTCACTTTTTTATATAGAATCTATATAAAAAAGTGAATCGCAATACCGCAACTCACTTTTATTATATAGAATCTATATAAAAAAGTGAATCGCAATACTGCAATTCACTTTTATTATATAAAATCAATATAAAAAAGTGAATCGCAATAC